TATTGTTAAGTGTTCTATGAATAATCATATTTTATTTAGTGGCTTATCAAATGATGGTCTGATAGCAATTCAATTAAAAATAATGAGTAATGCATTTGCATGGTTTGTAAGAATTGTATGTAGGCTACTTCATCATTGTATATTAGAAATAAGACTTATAAATATTTTATACAATTTTTATTTTTTTATTTATTGTAGCTTAATAAATGCAGCCTTAGAAAATATTTATTAATTACTAACTAAATCTATATAATTAATACGCTACATAAAGCTTTGTCGGTTGACCTCCTCCGCAATTTCTTAACCGATTTTATCCATTGGTGTCTCATTGGAAAGAGCGGGTAGCGTAGATTTGCAAACTGACCTTACATTTTTTTTTAAGTCCATTGGGCTCTGCCCCAGTGGGTGTTATAGTTCCCATGTTATCCTTATGAAGAACATCATTGTTTACATTTTGATCAGCTGTATAATTTAATTGCTGTTATTTAGTTTTCAATTCAATTTAACGCATTGTGTACATTTCTTGATTTTGTTGAAATGAAATATTTACTACTAGGTGAAACCCGTCGAAATCGACGGTTACTTTCAAGGCTTACGCTAATTCATCTAACTGCGATAAATTGAGTGAAATTAGACATATTTTGATCATTTAGCATTTATTTATTCTCCATAAGAATAACATGGGAATTTTAAATTTAGACTTTTTTAAATTATCTCCATAACTGTTGGGCATACTGAAATAAGCTCCTACTTTAATAAATTCAAACTAAAATTGTTAGCCAACATTTATTGTAAGATAAATCCAAGTCAGAATCAAAATATAAACAAAACAACAAATAGAATTAAATTAAAACAGCTGATAGGATAGATAAAGAAAGTCTAAAGTCAAATCCAATATGTAACACACAACACCGCTTCAATATACAAAATTATTTATTTTTTTAAGCTCTACAAAATGGTTTGGAGAGAAATTAAGAATTTTTATGTTTTTAGGGTAAAAAATGGGAAAAAGCTACTTTACTTATTTGCAATTGCTCGATTTTGAGCAACATGTACACTAGTATTAATAAATAGGCCTATTAGACTAAACATTATTTAATAATATAATGTCAGTCATTAATATGGTTTCACACACTTTAAACCATATTATTGACTAAATAACTATGGACATGTTTTTCACTATTACTTACAAAGTTTTGAGAGTCATTTCACGACAACGTGAATCTCATGGCAATATAAAAAGTCCAGGAAACAATTGTCAATTGTTTCAAGAATTAGATTTTAGGTGGTAGTTGTGAATTTTGAGATGATAGTAGCTTATTAAAAACAAAACTTGACAAATAAATGTTGTAGATCTTTTCGAAACAACATAGCTTTTAAATTCCAATCATTGATCCAATCAGTAGAAAATAGGCTATCAGAAAGGATGTGACAAACATCTACTCTGGAAGACTCGAGTAAAATTTCCTAACAATGAATTTCTTTACAGAAACCACGGAGAACTGATGATTTGTGTAACCAGTCCAGACCCCAGTGTTCCTGCGGAAACTGTCAGCTTCATGGTTGAAGCAATGGCTGTGTGCTTGACCTCCTCAGTTCCAGGTCATCTACAATACATTTGTTGTAAAATCTTTCTGACAGTTGGGATTCATTTAACGTATTTATTGTAACTAGTGTACCTGTTGCTCAAATTCGAGCATTTGTGAAGCATTACAGGCATCATTTTAAAACGAATAACAGTCATAATTTCCGATGACTTTATAAGAGTCGACTCAAAGATTATGGAAATACTCAAGATGTACACAGCAGTTAAGATATAATCAAAATCTTTTGTAAATATCTTATCTTTTTTCAAAAGCTGACCTTGTTTTTTAGTGTTTTCTACAAATTTTCCCCACTCATAGCCGCATTAGGTTGTCTATAATAACGATTATAAATGCAAAAAAAAAACATTATTTCTATTTCTTCTACTGTACTTGGTTGTGTTCTATGACTTTCCTGTTTCCATTGTTTGCAAATCGGCTCTTTCAATTATTGCTCAAGAAATGTAGCACAGTGTTAATTCAGTTTTATTTTTAGTATAACAAATTGTCCAGTATTTGTCACTTTTTTCCATTGTAATTTTAAAAATTACACCAACCAAGTATCGTCTACTACAGATGCAATACGCCAAAGAATATTGTCTACGTGTAATCTCCAAGAAGTGGTAAAAAAGACAGAAACCAACCCATACAATAGATATAAGTTAACTCCATAAGAAATAATTTTAAGAGTTACTGTGATATTAGGATTTTCCACTGATTTGGTAATAGAACATTATATTGCAAAACATGGCACGATTAAGAAGAAAATCGATTTTAAAATCAGAAAAAAAACATTGCAAATACTTAATTAACCCTTTGAGTGCCAACGTCCGGGGAACCGGACGTTTTTAAAACGAGCCAAAAGTGCCGACGTCCGGCTGACCGGACGTTTCGTAATGATCGAACAGTTGTCATAACAACCGAATGGATACTCGGATTCTTTTTACCCATATATTAACATTGAGTCGAAAGTTACTAGATGCAATACATCGATTTTCGTTGGTCGAAATATCGAAAATTCGATTTTTACGAAATTTTAACCTAAAAATCACCAGATCGCGCTCGGCATTTTTAGCGCGACCTTCGGGAAAAATCATCGGCATTTTTTGAGCGTTACTTTTATTTCTCGCCTGGCACTCTAAGGGTTAATTTTGACCAATTTAGTAAACTAGCAGAGGACCCGTCCTTCGTCCGGGGTTGATGAATGTTTAAATGGTGCTTTTTGAAATCTGACATGAAAAAAAGAGTAAAATGAGATTATATTCCAATAAATTTACCTATCAAAAACTATTAACTAACTAATTAGATAAAAAAACATTTTCAAATAATAAAACAAATGAAAAACTCAAAGCTTTTACTTACTTTTAAATGATAAAATCAAACAAAGTAAAGACAAACAATAATTTACAACATCTGGTTAATATTATGGGTTGAATTAAATTAAACATGTGATCTTGTTTCTAAAAAGCATTGCTCACTAAGCATTGATTATAAAATATATCATTATATACTATGTGAACAAACAAAAACATTAACACTCTTACTACTAAAACAAACAGAAACATACTTAGCCCTACTATTTATAACTCCTACTATTCATGTACCAAAGGCAAGTGCATATAAAACTAAGTTTTTTATTGTTCTTTTTAAATTGAAATATTTGTATATAGCTTAGAATTAGGAAATGTAATGTCATTCAAACAATGTTTATGTCAAGGGTCGGTTAAGTTAAGAGGAACTTGGTTAAATATATACATGTAATGACCATGGAACGCTCGTAAAAAGTCAAGTCAAGTCAAGTCAATCATTTATTTTCACATAACGTTTTACAGATCCAGCATAGCTGGGAAACAGGTGAAATGGTCATGGACAATTAAAATACATAAAACTATAATAACTATACAATATGCTAAGAAATCAAATATATACATCATTTAAAAAATCATCAACTTTGTAATACCCTTTATTAAGCAGCAATTTGGTAACTTCTTTTTTGTATTTTTCAAAAGATTCTAATGATTTAATATTATCAGGCAGTTTATTATACAGTTTTTTCCCTAGGTATTGTGGAAGGGTTTCTAATGAGGTAAGTCTATGAATGGGCAGTTGTAAATCATTTGCGTTCTCTGATTCGAGACAGAGACGACAGACATGGTGAATGAAGATGCTGAGGACGCTCCGTGTAATATTTGTAAAAACATTATTCCAAGTGATGGAAATGGACTATTTTGTGATGGTTTCTGTCATAATTGGTTTCATCCTACGTGCATAAATATTGGACTTGATAAATATTCGCTAATTAACAGTGTGGCGGATCATGTTAAGTGGTACTGCTCAGCATGTGCTTCTAAGATTGAGAAGATCGTATCAAACCGTTGGGACATCGAAGATGTAATTAATCTACACGCAACAGTGGATAAGCTGGTTGGCGCGGTGAAAGGAGTTGTAAGTGACAATCTTTCATTAAATAGTCGTGTCAATGAAGTAATTGCTAAACAAGAAAGCATACATAACCTTTTCTGTGAACGTGAACAGGTTTCTTTGTGTAATCGTGTTTCGACGGGTTGGTCTGAGACTGAGAAGTTAATGAATGAATACAGACATTCCGATATTACACCGACTACTCAACAATCGAATGTTCAAACACCGAATGTTTCCTTAGAAAACAATACTCCACTCCATATAAGGTCAGAGGATATAATCTCGGGCGGTATACACCCCGACTCATGCAAAGCTAAAGAAGATATTATTAGTAACGACGATCAAAAAACTCTTCAGAACAAATATTCGAAGAAAAATCCCAAGTCTTTCGGGCCAAGGGAATTTAGAAGTAACAACCACAGTGACAACAACTGGAAAGCAAAACGTAATAATAAAGGCAGTGACTCTCTCGAATCCAGACGTAATCCCGTGGCCGTGAGTTATGCTGAGGTAGCAGCAAGAGAAAAAGTGAATTTAAACATAACCAAGAAAACTAGAGACTCCTATTCTTCAACCTTAGTGTCGACACATAGACCTAGCTCTGTAAATAAAGACTCCCTACCAGTTCCTAAGCATATTATCATTGGTTCAAACGAAAATACTGATGTCCTAGCGGGCGAAAGGAAGGCCTGGTTTTATTTAGGTAGAATTAAAAGTGAAACTAGTGTCTCAGCTATTGAAAGCTTGATCAAGAACTCTCTAACAGGTAATTTAGACTTAGTTATTGAAAAACTAGAATCTAAAGGCTCCAACGCTAGTTTTAAAATAGGAATAAACTTTGATAGGAAGGATGAGTTGATGTGTGGTTCACTCTGGCCAAAGAACTCGATTTTCAAGCGTTTTTTATTCAAAAGACAAGTAGGGAATCATCTACTTTAGGTAGCATTCCTACTCTATCTGCACATCCAACATCTACAGTAGCAGCAAACACAATGTTCTTAAAAACTAAGGACCACCTAAAGGCTAAGTCAAATTTAAATAAAGGTAATAGGCCTAGGCCTACTAGTGAAGTTTTATCTGTAAGCCTAGGACTAGTCATGCTTTTTCTAAATGTACAGTGCATAAGCAATAAGTGTAATGAACTCGAAATGATCTTGTCATCCAGTAATTTTGACATTCTCTGTTTTACAGAACACTGGTTGTCACATGATCAATTATGTATGTTTAACTTAATGAACTATAACCTAATTTCAGATTTTAGCAGGTCCTGTAAGAAGAACGGAGGCGTTGCGTTGTATGCCTCTAAAGATTATGCACCAAATTGTAAGGCTATAGACGTTAGTGGTTTCTGTTTGGAACAACATCATGAATTTGCCTGTCTCAGTGTGCCTGATTCCAATCTCATAGTTATAGGTGTGTATCGCTCACCCGATGGAAATCTGGAGTGGTTCCTTGACAGCCTTGAAAAACTAGTCCTATCCCTTGAAAATAGAAGAACGAAAAATAATCTGGTCCTGGGTGGTGATGTTAATATAGACATTTTAAAAGGTGAGAAACACTCAGAAGACTTTTTAAATCTTTTGAAATCCCTAAATCTTTATTGCTTGGTGTGGGAACCTACAAGAGGCAATTCGTGTCTGGACAACGTTGCGACGGATTTACCCAAAAGACTCCTGAAAACGGAAGTGAAGAGACTTGCTGTAAGTGATCACGACGCAGTCAGCCTCCATGTACAAACTGCATCAAGTGCAGTACCTGATGGTTCTGGTCGAAGAGTATGTAGGCCTATTTCAACAGACAAGATAAATAATTTTATATATCGCCTAGATAACACAAACTGGGACTTCCTTTATAATACTGGTGCGGCTGAAGATACCTTCAATTGTTTTTTTCAAAATTTCCTTCTTATGTTTAATGAATGCTTTCCCACAAGGTTACTGCCTACAAAACGCTCCAAGAAAAATCAAAATCTTCCGGACTGGAAGGACCAATCCCTAGTAACGTGGAAGAAGTGGGTGCTCCTAGCCTATGATCTCTACAGGGACAATAAAACACCCGATTCAGAGCTACGCTACAAAACTATTAAGAAGCAGTACAAACAAAAACTTCTATCAGCTAGACTGGAAAGAAATGCTCGCTTCATAGAATCTGCCAGTAATCGCTGTGCAGCAGCCTGGAAAGTTATCCATGAAGAAGGTGCTCCGTCCAAATCCCAGTTGATATCTTCAGTGACTGCGGAAGCTTTCAACGCCCATTTTATTGACTCCGTCCAGCAGACCAGAGATGCTATCAACGGTTCAGCCACTTCTGCCCTAGATATGCTGGAGAAACGTGACCCTGCAGCCTCACGGTTCAACATTACCCTTTTATCCTGTGAAAGTGTGATACGGGTGGTCCAGAAGCTCAACAACTCTCCAAGCAAAGATATATTTGAGGTATCTGTCAATCTTATTAAGAGTGTGTTTCCTAGCATTGTTAAGCCTTTTACCTATTGCCTGAACCTATGTCTCTCTGAAGGAGTCTTTCCCCAAAGACTAAAGATAGCCAAAGTTATACCTATCCATAAGAAAGGTGATCCAAACAGTCCTGAGAATTTCCGCCCTATTTCCCTACTCCCAGTATTTTCAAAAATATTTGAATCTGTAATTAAGGATCAGTTGTACAAATATTTCGAAGAGCACAATCTGCTCATGACCGGCCAGTGTGGCTTCAGGGCGGGTCTCTCGACCATAGATGCTCTGGATAAGCTTGAAGCAGTAGTACTGCATGGTTTTGAGGCTGGAGGCTTTACTGGGGCCACCCTGTGTGATCTCAGTAAGGCTTTCGACACGGTCGACCATCGGATACTGCTGGATAAATTGAATTTTTATGGAGTAAAGGGCTCTGAACTCAGGCTCATGGAGTCATACCTGGCTGGGCGTGAGCAGAGGGTGCTCATAAATGGACATATCTCTAGCCCTTGTCAGATCACTCATGGTGTCCCACAGGGGTCTGTACTTGGCCCCCTTTTGTTCATTATCATGACCAATGACCTCATTCCAAATTTTGGAGGAAATGTCATGCTATGCTGATGACACTACCCTTTTCAGTTTCTCTAAAGACCTGATAACTCTAAATGGTCAAATGTCTGAGTCCATGGGGATAGCATCAGCATGGTTCCGAGCTAACTTTTTTAAGTTAAATGAAAGTAAATCCCAAACCATTGTTTTCACTTTAAATCAGATGGATCATGAAGTTTCAAATGTTAAATTACTAGGCCTATATTTGGATCCAAAGTTAGACTGGCACTGTCATATTTCTCATGTCTGTAGTCGTTTGTCTAGGGTAATTTTTCTCCTGAGAAGACTTAGAGACTCTGTACCCAAGGAATGGTTAAAAACAGCCTATGTAGCATTTTTTCAGAGTGTACTTCTGTATGGTTTGCGTCTGTGGGGCTCCGCATCTGGGGTCGAGAGGGTCTTGCTTCTGCAAAAGAAAGCAATAAGGATTGTGAATGGTGCAGATTATCTGGACCATTGTAAACCAATCTTTGTTGCCGAGTCCTTGATGACAGTTTACAATCTCTTCATTTTGCAGTGTCTCATGTCATGTAAGAGGAAGCTTGGCACTCTCGAGCTCAGAGGAGGGGTCCACCACTACAACACTAGGAATAAGCAGGATCTAAACATACCTTATGTTAGACTAAAGAAAACCCAGGCTAGTAAGGAAATCTTAAGCTTGAAATTAATGAACAAATTGCCTTGTACAGTTCGGAACCTGCCAATCACTAAATTCCAAAAGAGGGTGAGGGAGTTCCTATTGGCTAACCCACTTTACTCAATCCATGAGTTTTTTGAACTTCCTGACAACTTGTAAGTATGTTTTTTTGTGAGTTTTGCAAGTGTGGTTTTATTTTATTTTCTATGCATGGAGTGTTGCAGGAACAAACAAATCATGTAATTTTTGCAATTTTTTAGTACTCTAACCTAGTATTAGTTCATTTGACTTTTTCCATACATGTATCATGTTCACGGAAATAAAGCATTTCATTTCATTTCAAAGCATTTCATTTCATTTCATTTCATTTCGATGTCGTGTTAAATAATTATAGTTATGGTTTTCATTCATAAAATATTCAAGATTTTTTTAAATAAATATTAATGTTTGCAGGATATAAACAGACGGAAGTGTTAATATTTTCAATTCTCTAAATAATAATTTACAGGATTGCCTAGGCTTTGAAAATGTCACAATTCTAAGGATCTTTTTTTGAATTTTGAAAATGGTTTCGGCATTTGAGCAGCTGCCCCAGAACTCTATTCCATACAACATGTTTGACACAAACAAAGCATAATAAACAATCATCCTTGTTCTGAGGTCAGTAACATGCTGCAGGACAGACATCTGGAAACAGACTGTATTTAGTTTATTAGCTAAAACTGATGTGTATTTATCCCAATTTAAAGTGTTTTGTACCTGAATACCTAAAAATTTTGTAGATGACATTTCATTAATAATTTCCCCCTGAAAATTAATATTTAATTTGATGGTTTCTCTGTCATGAGACGTTTTGAACCTGACAATTTGAGTTTTAGAACAATTTAGACTCAGACTATTTGCTCTGAACCATTTGTTTAAATCTTCAAAAGTTTGGTTTATCAAATTTTGTAAATTGTTAGGGCTGTTTGATTTTAATATAGCTGTTGTGTCATCTGCGTATAGAACAAGCTTTGAGTTTATGTTAAAAGGCTGGTCGTTGATATAGATTAAAAACAACAAGGGTCCCAATATAGAGCCCTGAGGTACACCACAATAGATCATTTTCCATTTTGAAAAGCTATAGATGTTATCTTTAAAAATAATAGTTCTTTGAAAGCGGTTTGTAAGATAGGATTTCAAAAACTTCAAAGCAATTGGAGAAAAATTGTAAAATTTAAGCTTAGAAAATAAAATATTATGTACAACACAGTCAAAGGCTTTTGACAAGTCACAAAACATTCCAGCAACATTCTTCAATGCTGCAGCCGACCTCCCACAAGAAGTCAGACAGAGCCTGAGTTGTATTACGTCCTGATCTAAAGCCATATTGTTCTTTTACAAAAATGTTATTACTTTCAAGGAAAAAAGAAATTTGCTCAGTAATAATTTTTTCAAAAACTTTAGAAAAGGCTGGTAAGATGGAAATTGGGCGATAGTTATCTGAGTTTGTTTTACTGCCATTTTTATGAAGCGGTTTCACATCAGCATATTTTAACTGATAAGGAAAAATTCCACTTTCAAAAGACTGGTTTATTATCTGACTTAAAGGTCCAGAAACAATGTTGGCAGTTTGCTTTATCAGTTTAACAGGAATTTCGTCCCAACCAGCTGACATTTTGTTTTTAAGAGTAAAAATTACTTTTGCAACATTCTCTCTGGAAACAGGCTGAAAGTTGAAATGAGGTATGTAATGATTATTGAGATTAGTATCGCTAAGAAATTTGTGGGCATCTAATTCATTGAAGAGAGCAGAGTTAAATTTCGCAATGTTGGCAAATTTATTATTAAAGTGTTCAGCTATTTCTGTGCCATTACCAATTATGCAATTATTGTCTTCAATATTACTGAAACTAGATTTATTTTTAAGGACACCTAGCTCTGAGTTAACAACTGCCCATACAGCTTTACTTTTATCTACAGAGTTCTTAATGTAATTACTGTGAGATAGTTTCTTGGCTGAGTTACACACAGATTTGAACACCTTTTTATACCTCTTAACATATTGAATAAAATGCTGGTCATTCAAATGTTTAGCTAGCCTTCATAATTCTCTTTTTCTAGCACTTGACACCATAATACCTTGGGTGATCCACTTTTTTGATTTTACATTATTTTTACAATTTGCTTTAATGCTTTTTAAAGGGAAGCAATGTTGAAAATCTAACTTAAATTTTTGCAAGAAATTATCAAAATTTTGTTGGGCATCATTAAGTACAGTGACATTCCATGAGGATTCATTAAGCACTTCTAAAAACCTTAGCGTGTTTCTTTTATTAAATATACGTTTTTTTAAACTATTGCTAGTGTTTAGCTCAGTTTTTACCCCACAATCAGTTAAGATAAACAAGGCTCTATGGTCTGATAATCCTAATTCTATATTGCAATACTTTGAAAGGTCTCTTCCTCTATTAAAAAGTATGTTGTCTATACTTGTTTGAGATTTTTGATTAATTCTGGTTGGTTCATCTGAGTAGTACATATAGCCATGACTTATTATAACATTTAAAAAAGAGTTTTTATCTTGCTTGTTTTTACAATCATTCAGAACATCAACGTTGAAATCACCTGCTATATAAACAAATTTGCTTTTGGTTTCCTTTTTTAATAAAACAAAAAACTGTTCTAACTTTTTTAAAAATAATTTAAAATTACTAGCATCTGGTACACGGTATATTGAAATGATGACTGATTTTGAACTTGGTATCTCAATACAACATCCCTCAAATACATTATCTACAAAATATACATTTAAATCATTTCTCTCCTTGACTACTACATCAGACCTAACTAAAATACAGGATCCACCATGTATACCTTCTTTTCTACAGTAAAAAGCAGCTAAGCTAAAAGAATTTAAAGCATTAAGAACAGCTATTTGATCAGGTCTTAGCCAATGTTCTACGAGACATATAACATTTATATTAGTGTTCTGTAAAATAACATTAAGATTATTGAGCTTGTTTGGAATCCCGCCTTGAATGTTTAAGAGCATAATACTCTGAAAATTCTTATTTTCTAACTTATCTAGGTTGTTAGGTCGATAAGTGGGTGTTGACAGTTTAAAGTGAGAGGAGACAGGATGGGATTGGAGTCAAGTTGGGATACATTTTCACTACAACTACTATTTACATTACTATTTACATTGAGTGATGTTGTGTCAGAAACAGGTGCATCCCCACTGTCACTTGTGATTTTCTCCAAAGTTGATGCTGTTGCCGGTCTTCTATCAGCGACATAAAAGGTCTTCATCAGGTTCCCTAGGTGTTGTCTAATCCTTTCAACAAACTCGACATAAGAAAGACCACATCTTAGAATTCTGGTAGAAGATTCGTTGCTTACTACAATCATGACTTTAGCTTTTGTTTTTTGGTGGAGCTCACATATTTTTGTAACAAAATGTTCTTTGGGGATATTGTCTCTGACACAACCCATTGGGGAACAAACAATTAGTTGATGTCCTTCTAGTGATGTGTTCTGTATGAAGCTTTTGAAAGATTCATTGTAGTCTTCAATGTTGGGTTTTGTATTAAACTTAGGCTTAGTTACTAACCCATAAACAACTGCATTGTGGAATTTTTGGAAAGTCAGAGTTTTATTAACAAAATCTGTCGTCAAAGGTTTGTTGAAATGTTTCCTGAATGCAGTTGCCACACCTGCGCTCATGTGCCTGTCACTGTCAATGTCGGCAGATGTGCAGTGGGCAAAAGCTGTATGTTTTAGACCCCTTAACTTGTGAATTACGGTGTTCATGTCCGCCTCCATCACAGTGATCGGTGCATCTTTAGTAGGCATTTTGATGTTAAGTTCACTGTAAGACGACGAACATAAACACCAATCCTGGAGTAGTCTTTTAATTTCCTCAGCAATCTACCTTTTTCCTTTCTTGTTAAAGTGAAGTCCGTGGTTTGTATATAGGTCACGGGGCAAAAGATGTAGTTCTAGAAGTCTGGTGTTTGCTGTTGAGTTCTTCACTTTTTCCGTAAGCTCATAATTAATTTGAGTGATTTTACTGTCTAGTCTAGGTAAGTCATGGCGCATAGGAAGAGAAGCAACAATTAAATTAGCCTTTATAGAACTATTCAGTAAAGTGTGAAAGTCTTTCATGACATTCTTTGCGCCTTTGTGGTCAACATTGTTGGTTCCACCCATGATCAAAATGAAATCATTCTGGTCAAAGTCTTTTGAAATTTCAGAGATATCTCGAATAACATCAGTCAACAATGCCCCAGGTTTTACAACGGCCGTTACATTAAGATTGGTATTCTGCGATAAGAGGTTACTAAGTCCTCGGCCATGACTGTCAGCCAAAATTAGTAGCTTATTAGATTTTTGTAATTTTGTCAAACATGGATTTCTTTTTCTTTTTACAGGCATGATCTTTTTGTTTGTATGGGTCACAGTTTCACCCGATGGGTTATTGTGGGTTACTTTTTCACCTGTGGCACCTGCTTCAGAAAGAACCAAAAACTTGTTGTTACATTCAATAGTAGGGACCTCATTGTTCTCTGGTATTTTTAGGGGATTTTTAGGCATTTGCCGCTGATCACAATAAGGTTGAGAATTTCTTTTATTCAAATTTGGAAAACAATTTAGACATTTTGAGTTATACTGATTACTTTCCTGTGATTCTAATTTTGATTTCCTTAATTCAGCATTGTCACATTGTAGCACACTAATTACAGCCTCTAAAGATTTTATGGAGTCAATCATATTTTTGGTTTCTTGCTTGAGTACTTCACATCTGTTACAAATAGCTTCAGTAGAAATTTTTCTCAAAGTGTCCTCTTCGATAGCAGCTTCAGTCGTTAGTTCTTTATTAACATACATGGGGAAAAAACTGTACAATAAGTTACCACTAGGTTTAAAAAATATAGCCAATACAATGTCATTTAAAAAGAATCTATCAAAATTTTTAATAGAAAAAAACTACTATCATATTAGTGAGTATTTGTTGTAAACTATTTTTAAATCAAAGTCAGTATTTTTATTTTTATTGTATTTAATTTTTTAACTATAGAATGTAAGATGATCAACAATGTATTTATTATAATTTTGACAATGTCACCTGTTTTGTAGCTAAGCTATGTATAAACGTTTTGTGACAATAAAGTTT